ACGGCACACTCTAATCGGATGTTTTCACTTTTTTAATCTCTTTTTAAATTGAACGCTTATGTAGCTTTCATTATTTGTCACCTGAGGTATTAAACGATTCAAAATATGTATCAAAACTTTCGAGTTGCTCTTGAACTAACTGGCAAACGTTTGCAACGCAGACGAGCTATAGAAAACAATCGTCACCGTCGAACAATAAACGAGTCTTCAACAACATCTGTCTCAGGTTGAAGAAGAACCTATTGATGGGATAGAGTTAATACATGAGCAATCAATCAATGCAGATGAAATTATTGATTTGAATACCAATTTCAATATTTCTCAAACTGAATATAGTCCAACAGAACTTGACACAGATTTAAACGCACATTGTAATTCGCCAGTTTCCACTGACGATGAATTATTAATATTCGATGATATACTTCAATCAAATGACAGTAACAATGTTCAACCTCTCCATTGTCATGCAAACATATCAACAAGCAAATGTTGTCGGCAATTAGTAAAAATGTTTTTTGATTCTAATATTAGTAATGGGTGTGGGTGTGTGTAGTACAGGTCTTCCATTAACAATGTCCACTATCAAATTTACTTTCTTCTATGTTCTTTGTCTTATAGCAAAAGGATCGTTATTACCGGCAGCAAATAATAATACTACTTCAAGCAAAAATCAAACAATTGAAATGGCGTTTGATATAATACGAGGAGTGTCCAAGGACTGGGAATTAGGAATTCTACCTCAGTTCGCCTACAGTTCATTGCGTACTAAAGTTGAAAATATGGAATATTCACAATAATTTTCGTTCTTACACTCATCTTCATCTACAAAATTATGAGAATCAATAGTTCCGTGCACAGATTATTTAAAAAAAAAGTAATATCGCGACTTTCGTGAATGGTGGAACTGTGATGGAACCAATGGTTGATTTCCATTTTCTCTAGGAATTATCACAGCGGCACTGCCAATTCCTCGGCAGATTAGGAATTCCTATTTATCAGTTCTTGGACACTGCTGATTTGAACAATGATAACTTGTCGTCGTTTAAAAGTACCCAACGAATGAATCAATTGATGTCTGTTTTCTATAAGTTTAAAGCAAATGTTTCATTTGACTTTCAAGATTAGATCGAAACTACTCGATAGTGTTTAATCACGATGAATAAATATTAATCAAATACAACTAGTTTCATTTTAAATGAATTTACAATAAATTAACAGGCACGAACGTGTTTGGAGAAGTCGAGTTGGACAAACTTTTTTTTTATAAAGAATAAGAAATGATACAATGTTTGTTACAGTCATGATCGATTTTGGTGACATAGCTACGAAAGACAGTATTACCATACGGATTGAGCCTCAATTCTGAATTACTGATGTATATCCAACGATTATTAATTCGACAAGAAGCAGAACGAAAATTGATATTGATGAAGATAATTTCAATGACCAGCAAAGTTCCACACGAAAAATTCTTTTCTTTTTGTCATCATCTATTGTAATCAAGTATTTTTTATCAGTTGGTGCTAATTTAGACTTTGATATTTCTTGCTATCTTAAGATGTGTATATTTCGATTTTTTAATTTAGTATTAATGTTTTTAGATACAATTACATAACGAATCTTGTTCAATTCTACATCGTTATAATCTTAGGGTGTGGGTATATTTTTCAATTTCAGATAGAGGCAAAATATTTTTAAAAAACGAATTCTGGTTTATTGACAATGAATAGTCGAAAGATCGAGTATAATAGATTTTTTTTACAAAAATCATCCATTTGCAATCGTAGAGAAATAAATTTTATGGAATTAAGAATTTTTTTGCTTTGTCATCATTCGTCGTCTACTCATCTACTGAATATTTTAGTGTTTCTATGTACAGTTCTATTGTCAATAGAATTCATATTTTTAAGTGTTGTAAAAAGAATGAAAAAAAGGGTATGGGTGTAGGTGTGTAGAAAATCTATCGCACTACACAAGTTTAATTAGAAGTTGCTATTATACAACTTTCGTCAGCTGGATACTGGGTAGCAAAANATGCAACTGTTAATTAAGTGCTTTTATTTAATTTCTCGATCATAAAATAAATATCGACTGTGCTGTTTACTCGATAGTGACATTTCTATAATAATTATATTCGCATCTGTTGATTACAATGAGAAATAATAAAAATAAAAATTTTGATTACGCCGATACCATGAGAAACGTTTTTAATATTTATTTGAAAATACTACCTGTTCTCATAAATATATATATAAGAATTATATGAAGAATAAATCAATTTTCTATTGAATTTCAAATATATTTTTCGAATGAGAATTCTAACGAAAAAATAAGTTTAAATTAATTAGAGATACAATAGATTACTCTACCCTATTGCTTGTTGCTATTCATTGTTAAACATTTCTATTGTCTTCATTCGAGCAAACATTCAATACCAAATTGTTTATTCAGAATTGAAAAATTTTGTCGAAAAAGAATAATATCTTTTTCTTCTTCCTTTGAATCTCCAAAGCGTACATGCTTGAAAAAAGAAAATAAGTGGTAAATCAAATAAAAATGGATTGAGTTATGTCACTTTGCAAAAAAAGGTAAGAAAAAAGACATCTGAAAAAAATATCGACTAAATCTTATGAGTTGAAACAAATTCTTTCCAACAACAACAACAGTAGCACATCAACTGCTTTCTTCAAATTTTCGATCGTGGTAAGTTATTAGGAAGAAGGGTGTGGGTGTTGACGTTCTCGACACCCACACCCACACATCCCTTTTATCGCAATTTAAAATAGAATCCTAGTCTGTTGAAATAGAATAATCGAAAGATCGAGCAGAGGCTTTAATGTCTCGTCTTCTAGTTACAGTCAGCATCGATTTTTTTAAAAGAAACTCGTCACTTGAAATCACAGAGAATTAAATTTTATAGAGATAAGAATTTATTTTGCTTTGTCACCACTCCATCGCCTACTCGCTTACTGAATATTTCAGTGTTTCTATATGTAGTTCTTTTCAATAGAATTCATTTTATTACGCGTTTTGAGAAGCATGAAAAAAAGGAACTAGAGCAAATAGAGAAGATAAATCCTGTCATATCGTAAAATACAGATAAGAAGTCATCAGGAAAAAAATAGGCAAACGATGTAGGTAGTAAGAATTCTCTCCAACAATAACAACAACACTATTTATTTCGAATTTTGGTTCGTGGTGAGTAAAACATTCGAAAGATTGAACCATCTCTCTATTACCGGGTGGGGCAAAAGTTTTGCGACATTTTTTCTCTT